ATTTATTAGACTGAAAGGCACCAAGAAACACTGTGTTGTTTTATATTAAATGACCAGGTATAAGAGCCCTGATTACCTCTGTTGATGGGTCTGGTAGGAATGTCCAGCTGGAACACGGTAACTGGCTGCCCAGGGAGCCACTTTAAGATGCCAAATACTTATTTTTTTGTTTTTGCTGTTTAATCCTTTTTACCCCCCTCTCTTCCTGCTCTGTTCCATTTCTTGCGTGCACGATGAAATATCTTTTTCCTTAATTCGTTTCAAAAATATCTCAGGAAGGACAGAATATTTCTGTGGGATTGTGTGGATTTTATATTATCAGATCTGCTCTGTTGTGTAAAGGAAGATGCAGTGCTGACAGTAGCAGTTGTGCAATTCCAGAATTTAGGAATGAGGGATATTGCCTTGAAGAACCTCAGGATGGAACTGTAGGTTGCCTCCATGATCAACCAGGCCTCACAGAGACTATTAATAAAGATTCTGGTTTTTTGATGTTAATTTATATGTTTTTTGGGGCTGGACTTGCCCAGCTCACCTGGCTGGGGTTACATCATCAGGTTATTGCAGGAGGAAGCACCAGCCTCTGTCTCTGCTGGTTTGGGCAGAATCAGAACTGTTGATTCATATGCAGGAGTGTCACTATCCCAAAAATTACCCTGCTCCTGCATGGTGACATTGGCTCCTGGACAAGCTCTGCTCCAGGACAGCACGTGGAGTCTGGATCTGCTCCTTCCACTGCCCCTCTGCCCATGGTACTGAGCTGTCCCAGTCATCCCATCCCTGGGAGGTGCACTGGGATGCTGCTGCTCTCCTGGTGATTGAGGGGAGTGAATCCTCCAGGAAACTGAGTCCCCTTAGAATTCTTGTTCCTTCAAACCAGATTGTTTCTCTCTGTGCTGAAATGAAAGCGGTGTTCTGTCTCTTCAGGGCTGCAGAGGAGGAAGTGAGTGAGCCTTCTAGAAGCAAGTCCAGCATCTTTGAAGCTTTAAGAAATACAGGCTTTAGATAAAGAAGAGGAAAGAGGAGGAAGAACATTTGGGATAAGGCTTTGATAGGGTGCTGGAGGCAGGATCCCAAGCCCAGGAAGCAGGCAGGAGTAGGAGGATGGTGCTTCTCAACTCATCGAGGAGCTCCTCCTCAGAGGTGAAGCAGATGCTTTTAAACTGAGTTCAGCAGGTTTGAGCAAAGCACGGATGGCTGAGGGAAGATCTCAGACTAATGAAGTGCTTGGAATAAAAGCTTTGGAGCAGAGCTTGCAAATGCAGCCACCTTTGACTTGCCTCTTTCATTCCGGAGTTCAGTAGCTCCATATTGCAGATAGTGAAGAAGATCAAGGAATGAGTAATCCTTGCAGCTATTTGCTCATCAAAAAGGTGGTTTTTTAATTTAAAATTTATATATTTTTTTTTTCTGGTGCTCGGTCGCATTTGCAGGTCAGGACTAATAAAAGTTGCATATTGACACTATTTAACACAGTTTAATGATTTTATCTGCGCCAGTGAAGTGTTCCTGCATAGCCTAGGGAGTTTTTTAAGCTCAAAGGAAGACTCTCTGAAGTCTGCCACGTATCATTCCTTTTCCATTGCTGCCCTGTGTGTGTCTGGAGAGGTTTTCTTGTTCTGTATCTGGATTTCCTCTGTGTGTGTGTGTGTGGGCAGGGGATGGGTGCCAAACAAAGAAGAGCAGGTTATTCCTCGGTGTCACTGTTCTTCAGCAATATTCCCTCTGCCTGTCCCACATTCCTCTGCTCCTCTGGGAGATTCCTTTCCCACCAGAACAAGTGTCATCGAAGATGGGTTGAGAGCCACTTGTGGCCCCTGGCAGCTCCAGATGTTTGCAGTGTTGATGCAGCACAGCTGTCACCGTGCTCTGAGGGCTTTCAAGCCCATCCAGCTCCAGCTGGGGGTCACACAGGACAAATTCCTGTGGAATGTGCCCCTTCTGTCAGCAGCTTGTGCTGGGATTTTAGGGAAGTAACTGTGATAAATAGAATTGTGTTCGTTGGACAGATCTGAACATCAGAGCTCTTGGTTCTTGCAAGTCTTCCCTGGTTTGTCTTTTCCCTGCCTGGAATCGCTGGTCCCTGAGGGCATGGAGAGACTTTAGG